AACCGATACTCTTGTCCGATCCAGCACGTGCTGTCTGTCATTCAGCTCGTAGTGCTGGGGAGATAAGTGAGGTTGTTTTGTCACGCTATCGCCGGAAGTGGCATGGGCTAACCAAACGCAAGGCAGTGTTCCCCCATTAACGCCATCAACAGTTGTTTGTATTTGAGTAATAGCTCTGGTTCAATCTCAAGTCGCCACGGTTAACTTACTTTCGCTGGAACAACGACATTAACTTTATTTATTGAGGGTAGCACACAACAGTAATAACTGAAAAACCAGTGGCCCTCACATAAATATTTACAGAATAAAAAAGATGACAAGTTAAAAATTAAAAATTAAAAATATAGAAACTGATTCTCAAGTATGCAAGCTTATAAGGTTCGGTTGGTTTTTGATATGGGCAGGCATCATATTCCAGAGGCGGCTAGTCGATACTGAGAGAGACCTTCCACCCTCAGACTCCTGTTGAATTGGGGATACCATAGCTACGCCGTAGAAATTTGAAAACGCAGCTTTATTTATACAGTTAAACCCACCGTCCAAATACACTTATCCAGAGAAATTGTCCGCGAAAACGGAACTTTTCGAAAAAGCCCATCAAACCGGAGGGATTTGAAAACGTCGGCTTTGCAGTTTAGTTACGCAAAAATGGAGCTTTAGGAAACAATGACGTCACGATAATCATGTGACTAACCCTAACCCTCCAGGGGCCCTCCAGGGTACATTCAGACGTTTCTGCCGCCGGTAATTGTTGGGCTTCAAATTTCTCCAGCGTAGTGTATACGGACCTTAAACATTGACGTTTTTCTCCGTTGGCAAATGAGTTTGATCTTTTTATACCTTTCATTTCATTTTCCATTCACACTAGATTTCACGGACAAAGATCACAAGGACGATCACTGAAAACATAAGTGGTTTGCCGTTGCGAGTACAGATCAAGCAGAGCTTATTTTTGAGAATGAACAAACTTTGAATTCTGGAAAAGTTTGGTCCACGAAGCTAGCCAATCACGGTCGTCAATCACCATTATAATGTGTCCTTAAAGCTCCAAAGCCAGCTTTCCCTCGTGTCAAGACCCCTCCGGCTAAGAGAGACAGGCGGCTCTGGGGTCGAGAATCCAAGTTCCTCGCGCTAAGCCCCTCTAGCTGAAAGGAACAGACCCTTTGGGAACAAAAATGAGTGATTTGAACAAAAATTCTGGGACCCAGTTTCTCTCTTTCTTAGTGTCATAATATTGCGCTAGAAATGTAAAACACACCTACATTTAATTTTATGGAGATTGCATCATTTCGGCTTTGTCTCAAATCGTTTTCAATTTCAACAGCTCCGCTTGAGTTCATTTCTGGTTCATTGTACGCCATCTTGTAAGACGTAGAAGGTGTGCCATTTCTATTTATAAACGTACGCTATATCTACTCCAGAATTAATAGTTTCGTTTTCTTTTCATAAAAAGCTCAAATCGTTTGACTGCTTTTTAATAACGCCCACAGTTTGAACTTGAGTTGCCCGTGTCTTTAGAAGCCAATATAACAGCACTTGAGGGCAGGACGCCTAGGAGCCTTTCTTCCTTTCGTGTGGTTTAATCAACAGTTCCTCATGATCATCACTGCTGGTAGCAGCGAAATTAACTGGAATAGACGAGACTTGGATTCAATATTTTCCTCTAAACAGGTAATAAATATGATATAAACCTGATATTTGCTTACGATTCTCATGTTAACATGACGAGGCAAGAACGCTAACGAAGAAAACAATTTTTTCATTGTTGAAGCAGGAAATCTGTTAACAGCGATTGTATTGTATTAATAAAGTTTTCGTTTTTACCATAGAAACCTTAATTTTTCACTGATTATTAAGGTGAAGGCATAGGAAACGCAAACAGGTGAGTGCAGTTAAATGATTTAGTAACAAAGTTAAGGGACAAAGTCATCTTAATTGAACACACACGCGCAGATAGTGGGGAAGAACTAGACGGAAATTTTAGTGCAGAGGCTAAGCAACAGAAAGAACTTTGTTTACTTCTCTGCGGAATTTCTTCACGCCAGAATTGATGACATAAAACATCACAACAGCTGTTACAAAGACAGCGCTATCTAAACTGATACAAAAACTACAGCAAATCAAATCTGAACTGAAAGTTTTGAAGAGGTGAAATAAGAAGATGCCGATAAAAAAAATTAAAAAGCCAGTTGTAAACGAAATGAGCCACACACGAAATGTATCTTTTAATCTATAAAATTTGCTTCCTCTATATTAGCACTGGCTTTATATTGAAGTGCCTGCGCGACCACCCTAACCTTACATTTACATTTAGGAATAGAAGAAAAGTGTTGCACGCGAGTGGCTTGAAAAATTTTCTAATTAGTTTGAAATATTTTTGGTTGATTCTGATGGGATCCATTTGAATTAACCAATAAAAACAGCGGAAGTTCAAGGAGTCATATAATAATGACCAGCATTAGTGTTCCTTGTTACATCGGTTTGCGTCAACAACCCTGACACAATTAAGATTAAAACAAAACCCATAAAAAAATCTGTCAAACCTAATCGTGTAAGCAAAAAACGTTGTCGCCTGTCAAATATACTCTCACGAAATGGCGAAATGACAAAAAAAAGTGAGTATATCGAGAGCATATCATGTCATTAACACAAAAGGAGATCGTCTCCGGTTTTTTTGTTTATTTTGTTTAGTTCACTTTGCCCGAAAAATGCCATTTCTTCCGAAGATCAGGAAGTTGAAAAAGGCTATTCGATATCTTCTCTCTTCAAACTAGTAAAGAAAATTTAAAAACTGACGTTAAGACTTTCATAGCAACCCGCAACAGAGTTTCCACTCTACATTGATTCTCGGGCGAGAGTATGCTTTCGGGAGTGATCGTGGCGAATCGAAAACTCGTCGGAGAGTGCGATAACCAGCAACTGTTCGGATCCTTAAATGTATCCATAGAAGAATGAAAAGTAATCAGAGAAACTTATTGACGTTAGGCTTGTACAGATGTTTCTTTTATAGCAACTTTAATTTTGGTTTTAGAGTTAATTACTAAATTTGCACGTACCTGATACCTGAATTCAATCGCGACAAGAAATGGTGTTAGCGCATAAGTGACAAATATTAAAGCTTCGGTTATCGTGAAAACCCAAATATTGTGAGAAAGTACAGAACACAACCACCTGGGATTTTTAATTTTAGTACATTTTAATCCTTGTCAATATGAAGATGTCATGTTGGTGTACATACTGAAATAAATCAAGTTTTATTAAATTAAGTATCGATCAAATATTCTTCAGTACATCGAATATCCTTTAGCGAGAATTCAGGCACAATTAAACCAACATAATACGGGAGGTTCTAATCACAACTCGCCCTGTTTTATTATTAATTAGGCGAGAAAAGAATAGAAAATTATTTCGGTTTACATGCAATCGTCAATTCCGGTCGTATAGCGGTTAATCTCCCTACTGTTCTTCTTATGTCAAAGTCGCGAAAATTCAATCAGGTCTTGACAAAATTGAACGCGATACAGATTAAAATTTTCAATTTTCAATTTAACTTGATAGTTGAAGATAACAGAAGCAATTTTGGTATAAAAACTTAAGACGCGGTCCTGTTTATATTTGTACGACGAAATTATTGAAAATCCACGAAACGTGACATTTGATCGCTGTACCTTCAGAGGAAGAAGGAAAGAAGAGTTTTAATCAAAGGCGCAACAAAAGCAAGAAAAACAATAGGATAAGAGTTTTAAACTGAAATAATATCTTTCTTTTTTGTTTTGTTTTACATGTAAGACGTTAAGAAGGTCAACTTCCAGTGGTTTAAAATGTCGTCGGGTAAAGAAGTCCTCACGCTTAACAACGCACAGAGAAACAATGTTATTATAGCCATCGAAGCAACCGCCCTGATTTTGGTGGACATCACAGCCTTGATCGGTAATGCTCTAGTTTTTGCCGTTGCCTACAGAAATCGCAGGCGCCACACCATCACGGATCTCCTTATCGTGGCTCTGTCCCTAACAGATCTGCTTGTGGCGGTGACGGTGATGCCGCTGTCAGCTGGAAGTCTCATCTCTGGAGTCTGGCTATACAACCGATCCGTCTGTCTTTTCCAAGGATTCTGCATTATAACCTTCGCTACCGCATCCCTCAACACATTATCTGTGATTGCAGTGAACCGGTATTTCTGTGTCGTGAGACCCAACGACTACCGAACCGTATTTTCCATGAAGAAAACGCTGGGATACATAGCGCTTGTCTGGTTGCTTGCTTGCAGTTTTTCCACCTCGCCGCTTGTGTTCGGAAGAGAAGACTACGCCTTCCAACCCGGAAAAGTCCTGTGCGTTTATCCCTTTGAAATCAACATCGCCTACACTGTGTGCCTGGATATTCTCTTCATCGGAATTCCGACAACAGCTATTTGTTTCTGCTACTGGCGCGTTTTTAAGACGGTACGGGGGCGAAACCGTGTCATGACAGCCAACGACGACGAGTTAACGTCCAGAGTTCACGTACAAGATGCGAACATCACCAAAACACTTCTCTTCGTCCTGGTTGGATTTGCTTTTTGTTGGCTCCCAGTATTAGTGATGGACACGATTGACGTGGTGACAGGTGCGCTCATTCTCCCGCGCCAACTCTACCTGTTCTATACTTTCATGGTTTTCTTGTCCTCTACCATAAACCCATTCATCTACGCACTTGTTAACAAGAGATTCAGAAGGGAATACTGGAAGATTTTGCGGCGACTGTGCTGTGCCCGCCGTCACTTTCACGTCGCATCGGTAGGATCGTCGATAAACTAGTTTTTAACTCGGATTGAAAGCTTAAGAGGTTTTATTTATGAAAGTGACTTCATAGGCCTGTTTGCATTCTGTTTTGAAGAGGAAGGCCGTGAGTGAATTAAGGATAAAAAGTCACTATCGTTTTGGAGCTTAGAGGTGCGGCACCTTGAAATTCATGAGGATTGCACCGCGTTTAAACTTTTCTGTAAATAACAACTCGGTGCATGGTGTAATCAATCTTGGTCTTAAGTAGCGAGTTTGTGATTTAGCTTAAAGAAAACTACAAGCAAGGGTGAGGATAGTATGTTTCATAGCTTTATAAAAACTAGACGCGTTCAGACAGTAAGTGCGCTGACTGTACAGTGGAACGGAATGCGTCCGTAAACGTTTATAAAAACCGCACCCAAAGCTAAAATTTGAGAACCTTTTTGTAACTGTTACACCCGCTTATTTCTTTATAATTTTCGATTTGTAACAATACCTTTGTAAGATAAGATTCCTATCAGATCTTTCTCTTGATTGAGTTACAAGAAACTTTAATCAAAGATCGCGAGCAAGATACATTTTACATGTAAATGGGCGGAAAATATATCTGTAACATGAACCCGCTAAATATTGTTTATTAAAGACTGATAAAATTATACATTGTCAGACCCTTACCTGATTTGTTGTGGAGTTTAATCGCAACAATGCACAGGAGAGAGGGTTTTTAGATCTACGTTTACCGCAAGCGACAAACGGCGACGGGTCACGTGACCAGACCCAGAGGTCACGTTTGAGGTTTTCGACTCGCGTTCCGAACGTTATTAACAGGTAGATTTTCACGTAAGTCATTCATCTCAAGCTTTATTGCCTTGAAATTTATTACATACCACGTAAAAATGCTGAAATCGAATAAAGTAACAATTTTTCTACGAATTCGTTGTAATTTTTAACCAAACAAGCAATTACCCAGCCTTTTGTTGTTGTTTGTAGAAAGGCACTGATGCTACTACAATGTTCCCTAATTCTTATTTTTACCCTAGCCAATTATAATTTGGGGAATTACAGTTTATGAACCAAGGTAATATCTCACCTTGAATCCAAGAATGGAGAAAATAACGATTGAAGCAAATATGGGGGTACCACAGTTAATAGTGGACACCAGAATGGCGTCTCTCTTGTAGTTGTTGTGCACGTCATTGTAACTCGACATTGCGATAAGCCCTCCAACTGCTAACCCCAAGGAATAAAAGATCTGTGTTGCCGCTTCTAACCAAACTTGAGGATCGGCTAGCTTTTCAAACTGGAAAAAAAAACAGAGGAAAAATGGAAAAACAACCACGTAAATATCAAATAAAATCGTACAGGGTGTTAACATGACATGAGGTTTATAATACAGGAGTCAGCCAATAAGGGGGCGTTACTGGCATATTTTTAATTTTGTCCCTATGAATTATTTGGTAAATAAGCCATGCTGATAGAACAGCATACCAAGAGTTGTGACGAGTTTACGCATGGCAGCGCATTGTTTATACCTTATGTAAAATAACAGAAATTTCAATGTGGTTTACCGGAATAAAATTGAATAGCTATTGACCAATCATATCACGCGAATTCCGATTTTTTTGTCACTATACCATATCTTAACCGCGTAAGTGATGATACTTTTTTTTCAGTCCCGTTACTTGTAATTATTTTTAGTGATTTAGCAATTTCTTGCTTTTGCAATTGAGAAAGACTGCACTTTACTTTTCTGTATACTTGAATCTCTTCTTATCAGCGGACTGTGTAAAAACAACGCGCATATATACCATTGGAAATTGCAACACTCGCCTTTGGAATTACGATAGATAAATTCTCCTCTTTCCATGTTTGTACATTTTGCTACTTATTGCTCGGTGAGCCAAACTAACGCGTGCAAATGTTATCTCCTTAGAAATTTTCCTCTCGTTCCCTTACAAGTGTTACCTCAGGTGTAAACATATGTTTGATGCCATCTCCAGAGCCTGGTAAACTGAAGCCGCGACCAAAGAAGATGGGAAGGTAGCGGTAAAGTAGACAGCCTGAAAACAAGCAAGAAATTTGATCACATTTTTGTGGTAGCATACGTGTAAGCTTCTTCCATTTGCTTTAGTTCATAGGAGACCTGTGCAAGTGTCGTCCATTTTTGATAAAATATGAAGCACATGTACCCCAAATATGTCTTCACAGCGTTCGAACCCCAGTCAAACGTCTCCTGAGTGCTTTCAGCCCAGTTCCTCCGATGACGTCACTAGAAGCTCGACCCAGATCCCACTTTGCGAGGCCGTGGCCGCAGAAATTTTAAACGCTTGTAGAAAAGTGGGGATTTTATCAATTGAGATAATTTTTGCGCTGAAGTAATTGGGAAAACTAGTTCATTTTATTAAAGGAAAATCAAAATAAAATTGGGGGTTAGTTGCACTTTTAAAAAGCAAAGAGTCTCCAATACTTTTAGTTGCAGGAGTTCGGTTAGCTGGCAGCAGCGTGGTCTCTCCACGGACTTCCTATTTTGTCTTGGGTTTGCCGGAGACCGCAAAAAAGGATTTACTGCAGAGGATTTGAAAAAAGCTTGAACGCAAGGAGGTGGCCTTGGGAAAAGACAGAAAAGAAAAACAACTCGTTACAAAAAAAACATATACGTCTGTGGACAGACAAGGAGCCGCGCAAAAACTTGACTCATTTGACTTGACCCTCCTCCCCACCACCCCCCGCCCCCGAAGAAAAATACAAGAGGGGCTTTGTATCCTGATTGTAAGAAAAACTAAAGGTTGGCTTTGACAATCACCTTTCCCGCAGATTCCACTCCTCGCATCATGCACAGGAACACCACAATCTGCGAAAGCAACAACACCAGGCATAAATGCAACCTACAACAAAACCATTGCTGTGGTCGTTGAATTACATACCTCCACCATTTTTCTGGCACAAATACGGGAATCGCCAGACATTTGCAAGGCCAACAGCAAATCCTACAGTAGCCAGCATGTATTCCAGTTTATTGCCCCATCCCTTTTTTTTCCCTTCTTCGACATCCACTTGCGATTCACTTTCCGTGTTGCCTTTCGTATCTTGGCCAGCTATGGCATGTTCGTCGTTCGATGGGGAAGTCACCGTGACGGTAATTTGCCCGTTTTGTTCGCTTTTCTCTGTCATTTTCCTAGCATTCTTGCGGTACGTTCGGTGCAAGCTGCTGGATCTGCCACCCCTCGAGTGTCAGCTCGGTGTTAATATTTAATATATTAAACCTGGACAGTAACCATGCCGACTACCCCTGCTTCAAGAGCATCGAATTTCCAAAACAATCATCGAAACGCGCAGAACAAAAGTGTGCTTCAGTTGCTTACAATTTACAATCGAATTTACAATCCTCAACGAGTCTTGAGAAACAGAAAACGACACTGACCCTGATACTAAACGTCAACCAAAATATAACAACTGGCTTTTCGATGGCTTTCTTTTTTCGCAGCGGTAGGGGTGATGAAAATTTAATAAGATAGAGATCTTGAGCACCGCATGATCATTCTAATCGATTCTAAGAATGTATCTTTCCATGCGCAGGCTGGGTATGTTTATTTTTCTGCCGAGATGAGGCTAAAAATATTCTTGTGTACATTCTTAGATTACAGAGTACACGTATTGTACACGTATTTCAGCTAAATAAACTGGACGTGACCATGCATGAATTGAATTATCAAGTCAGGGGCGTAGCCAGGGGGGGGGG